CAGCCTCTGGCCAAGGCCACGCGAGTTTAACGGCCTCACCCACGAGTTACATCTTCCTGTGCTTGCTGCCTTCCCACGTGCCCACAAGGCAGGTTCAATTCCTACCCTCCTTTGACAGACGTGGAATAGAAACAGAGAACTCAATACACTTGCCTAAAGACACACAGAGCAGACTGTAGACCTCTGAATCACACACTGACATTCCTGGGCTGAAGTCATTCCAAAGGCCCAATCAGAACTGGGAAACTCAGACTCAGCCCAGTAAACCAGCTGCAAGAACAAGGGGTACCCTAAGTTCAGGCTCATTAGTCCAGGAAGGAGTAAAGGACCAAGGTCCAAATTTTTCAGAGAACTGATGGGCTCTAAGAGGTGATTGTTTCCACTCTGGAAAAGTAGCAGAGGCCACGGTGATGGCCTGGGTGAGGTCAGAGCTCCCAACAGGGGCAGGAACCGTTGAAGGCTTGGAGAGGGATGGCCACGCTGGGGGGCCTCCAATGCAGAGGCAGCCAGTGAGGGGCCCCCTGAACTCGAAGAACGATGAACCTCAGAGGGACATCTGACTCCAGACATGTTTAGGGCCAGCCCAAAAGGTGGACCAAGTACAAAAGCAAAACCAAAGCCTGCCGATTTTACTGACCTTGGACGTGTTTCACATGTTTCACGCCCGGAAAAGCTGAGCTCTCAGCACCTTGGAGGTACGTCCTCCTCTCCAGAGCTTGACCCGGAAGGGGGGTCTCTGCTGAGAAGTGGGCCTTGGCCAGAGGGAGAGGGGAGAGGGGCACGGCTGGGTGGTCCCACAAGAGTCCGCTTCCTGCTCCATGAAGCTGGATTTTCTTGACCATGGAGGGGAATGTCACTCTGCAGGAAAACCCCCAGGCGGTGCCCCAGGGAGTCACGCAGCAGCCAGGACCCTCCCGAGCCCTTGCAGGACCCGGCTCACTCGCACGGGCCTCCAGCCCACAGGCGGGCCGGGGCAGCGTCCTATCCACGGAGGCTGCCCACAGCGTTTGCTTGGCAGTTTGATGGGTACTCTGGGGTTCGCCCTCCTCCTTGGCCTTCCCTGCCAGCGCACACCCTGCTCCTTAGGAATGTTTTCCCAAGTGTTCCTGTGAGTCCCATTTTTCACACTGCAGTCCTCCCACCCTGCCCCAAAGCCCCAAGGCTTGGGTCTCGTCCACTTGTGAGCGCCAAACACCTAACCCCAGGTCCGTAGCCCTGCAGGGGCTTGGCCAATGCTAAAGGCCCGAGCACCAATAACCAACAACAAGCCCAGGCCATGCCCAGCCCACAGCCCACAGCCCAGAGGCTCCTCTACTTCCATTACACATTCTTTAATCAGACTGCACAACCTTGACAAAGGCACTACCAACAGCCCGCTGCTCCGCAGGCCCCCCCACCCAACGTCCATGTGTACCGACCAGGAGGGGGCCGGCTCCACTTTGGGAGTGGGGAATGGGTGTGACTCGCTGGCTCTGGGCCTTTCTGGGGCCTCCTGGCGGCCTCCTTCCGGCCTGATGGTCTGGCAGTCCTCGTCTGCAAGCCCAGTGAATCGTCTGTCCCCCTCCCCTGCACAGATCTTCCTGTGCAGAGGGTCCCTGCAAGAAAGCCATGGACATGGGAGGAGCCACAGACATGGGAGGAGCCACGGACATGGGAGGAGCCACAAACAGGAGCAATCTTCCTCTGACTCTGGTGGGCCTACTTTCCTACCGGGGGTGGGGCAGGCGCAGGGGACTCCCTACCCAGGGGACCAGGTGTGTGCCACGATGCTGGAAACCAGCGCCACCATTAGCACTGCCACGTGAATGACCGAGCTCTGGTGACAGATAAACACCGTGACAACCACCAGCCTCCCCTGCAGCCTCACTGTAAACAGACTCTGGTGCCTCTTGAAGGGTCCTTGGGCAGCAGCCTTGGCGACTAAAGGTGGGGGCGGAGGGAGGAGGGGTGCGCGTGGGCATCACAAATGCACTTAATAAACCCAGTGCATTCCAAAAAATGCCTGGAAGGAAATGGCCAAGCCCCAGAGGCAAGTGTGCTGGGGCTGCCTCTCTCTCACAGCAAACCCTGAGCCCTGGGCCTGCTCCCAGGCTGAGCCCTCGGTAGGCTTTGCGCTCAGCTGTACGACGACGAAAGACAAAAACACGAAAATGGCTGCAGCGCTGTGGTTTACCCGATGCCTCTGCTGCATCCATCACAGGCAGGGTTCAGGCGACAGCGAACCCTTGGCTGCAGTCGATGCCACGTGACACGGGGGAGGGGCACCGCCAGGTCCCAGCCACCACCAGAAGCTTCTGCAGCTCGTGCCAGTCAACCAGGTCAGGAGCGAGCAACGGCAGATCGCCCAGGTGTGGACGCACACGTGGCTCTGACGCGCAGCCCCACTAATCCTGAGTCACACGGGGCCGGCGGGCTGCATTGGGGTCCCTCTTTGCCTGGTCACACTGAGCTGCCTAGTCCACACTGCAAACAGCCTGTTATTCCCACTAACAAACCCAACCGAGACAAAGCAGGTGGTTCATGGACTGAGAAACGCAAATATATGTTAAAATAGCTAAAGCACGTGAAAACCAAACACGTTGCTTAGAAACAAACAACCCGCTGGAAACACACCTGTCGTCTCTCCAAAAGGAGAGAAGAGGGTCACTTCCAGGCAGTCCCTGCCCTCCCACAACACAGGGAACATCTGAGGCGGGCGAAAACCACACTAATTCGTTCTTGCTGGTGGGGCCACACATGACCAAGGTGGCTGGATTTAAAGGTCACCATCTTCCATTTCAGCTCAGCTCAGCAATCCAGGCGGGGAGTGGCCGCCAGCATGAGCTTCAGGTTTCCAGACTTTAGGTCTGTCGGGCTGCAAATGTTGCCCCCCCGGGAGCACAGCGACTGCCTGGAACACGACTGTAGGTTCCGACAGATCCAAATCTGGCTTCACATGCTACGAAGCCTGCCACACAAAATACCACTTACATGGCCGAACGCTCCTGGGGATGCCAAGCTCCTGAGCCCGCCCCGACCCCCCCAACTCCGCTTTTGGAGGAGGGTCATAACGACACACTGAGCCTACAAGAAGGCGTGAGAGGAAAACGACTACTGTGGGATAGATCGTTTGACAGAGAAATGTATTTGCTGGCAGGCTGCAGACTTCACCGAACGCTCCTGGGGATGCCAAGCTCCTGAGCCCGCCCCGACCCCCCCAACTCCGCTTTTGGAGGAGGGTCATAACGACACACTGAGCCTACAAGAAGGCGTGAGAGGAAAACGACTACTGTGGGATAGATCGTTTGACAGAGAAATGTATTTGCTGGCAGGCTGCAGACTTCCTTGGCACAGGCTTGCTACCATGCAAACGAAACAAAAATCAATATCCTCTGGTCTGCAAAACAGCGTGTTAACAATCACACTCCAAATAATATCCCTCACCCCACACCCAAATACAGTGAATGTTTTTGTTAAAAGACAGTGCGAAATAAACAGAGAAAGAAGAAAACAAGGCAATTTTACAGGCCCTCCTTCTGCAAACCCTTTCCAGGACTTCAACGAGGAGATAATCTTTCTGTGATTACGACCAAACCCTCCCGTTGCTTAGCAACACATAATTAAGGAATATGTTTTCAGATCCGCTTTGCAAGCCCGGCCATTATCAGATGAAATTACTGGAGCAACAAATGCCATCGCCATGCAAATCAGTTGGTTGCAAAGAAAGAATGTCTGACTGCGAGGGAGAGGCACACGCCTTCAGTGTGTCTATCTGACTTTTCTCTTGTCGCACATTGATTAGAAAAAGTCAATAAATTGCATGATCAGACTTAAAAAAAAAAATTCCACGCATGAAAACAAAACCAGAACCTATAATGAGAAACAACAGAAAAACCCAACCAGCCACCCAATCTCCCTTTGGAAATAATAAAGAGAAGTACCGGGCAGTCAACTTGTAAAGCAACAATAGCCAGTCTAGGAGCAGCCACATCACCACCAGCCCCACCACCATGGCAGACAGCCCTGGCGCGTTGTCTTAGGGTTCCAAGATCAGGCTCCCGGTCTCCACCGGGTAGCTGTTTGGGGGGTATTTTCAAAAAGGTGCATCTTCTTTTCATGCCACTACTTCCACCCTGTAATACTTACTAGTTATTCAGAAAAAAGATTCATTTAAAAGGGATTCCGTTTTCTAAATTATGTTGGGGAGGCAAAAGGGAAGAAAGGATGAAAACTGCTTTACATAGCTTAAACTGTCAATAAAGATTCTAGGGTCTAAGCGTTGTTCAGAGGCTGTCCGCCTGAAGTTTATCCACAATGCCCAAAGAAACACATGTAGTAAATTACATTTGCCTCATGTTTTGAAGAGAATCATCTAGGATCTCTCTTCTTCCTCAACTCTGAAATTAATTCTTCCCTGCTGTATTTACCCAGAATTTCCAACTGTGCTTTCGAGTATGAGAGACTGAGTCTGTTTTGAAAGAGAGTTTCAAGGGATTTCAACGTCTCGTTTTGTCCAACACGTAAGTCTGGAAGCACACCCAATTGTAGCTGTGTGGTGGTTAGTGCTGCCTCTGATACTGACTGTAGACCCTCTGGGGGCCTTTCCACACTATAATAAACTTCTACTGGCAAATGGATGATACCCAGTTTATGGGAGGCATTGAATACCCTGACTTCCTCTAAGCCACCACATGTGAACCTGAGAAAATGCTACACCCCAGATGGTTTCATTCTGCCCTGAATGTCAACTACAGGAAGGCAAGGCGATGTTCTCCCGATGGGTCAGCCTGAACCGCAGGTCTGTTTCATGCAAGAGAACCTGTGTCAGTGGTTAGCAGGCCGCAGAGCCCGTGTGGCTGTGTGCGTCTATGTGCATGCGTGCACACATGTGAATCTGGGTCTGGTCTCTCTGGGCTTGGCTAGAGGAGAGACAAAAACGTGAGACCTGCTGTCCTGTGCTCAAACCTGTGCCCCTGCTGTTTCAACGTCCCAAATGAGGAAGGGGGTGGGGGGTGCATTACTTGGTTCTGGAGCGAGCATGGTGGACACGATGATGGGGGCCCCTGTCCGTCGGGCCACCTTCTGGTAGGGCGAGTGAGGCGTGTGGAGGCTCCGGCTGGCTGGCGGCAGGGCAGATGGCTCCACTGGGACACCGGGCTTCCACAGAAGCTGGGGGCTGCTGTGGGGGCTGGGCAGGGGAGACGCGGCCATGCCACGCTCCCGCTTGAGCAATTCCATGGGCACTGAGTATGCTGTGGAGTAGGCTGTTCTGGGGCCTGGGTGAAAGGGGGCCACAGGGCCCGGGTTAGTCAAAGCCAGACCGGCCTGTGGGGAGTATGTGGGGCCCAGTCGCACTGTCAGGGCACAAGGGGTGGGAGAGCTGTACCCAGAGTTGGATGGGAAGTGGGGCGCTTGGGCACCCACCCCAGGGGCAGAGTAGGTAGCCGCTGTCTCTGGGAGGTGCTGGGATGGAGCGCTGGAAGGGCGGCGAGCAGGGTGTCCCGCCTGAGGGGACGTTGCCTGCAGGGGACCCACAGGCTGTGGCTGCAGGACAGGGGCTCCCAGAGAAGACACGTCGTCATGGAGCTCACTTCGGTGGCTGAAGCTGCTGGAGCGTATCCGGGGCAGGGCGCCCACCTGGCACTGCCTCCGCAGCTGCATCTCGGTCCTGCAGCAATTGGCCAGGCGGCTCAGGACACGGGCCTGGCCCAGGTTGGGTGCAACGCACTTGATGTCTGCGTCCTCCATGGTGGCCAGGACAGCTGGGGAGTCGAAGCCCTGCTGCAGCAAGGCCACCAGTGTGGCCTCTGCCACACCCTCGGCCCGCAGGAGGGCCAGGAACTCGGGCCGTGTGTTCCTCTTGCTGCCAGGCCCCGGGAAGGCAGGCAGGTCCGCTTCACAGACTCGATTCAGGGCGTGGGGGGCAGTGCCTGTGCCACCCTCAGAGGTGGCAGTGCTGGAGTCCACGACCAGGCACGTGGGGGCCACCTGCCTGGAGGGGGCAGAATCCACAGGCCTGTCGCCCACATCGTTGTGGACCTGGCTGGCAGCGTAGGCAGCGGCGGCGGCCTCGGCCCCGTACCTGCCATCGGGCAGCTCCCCTGAGTACCGGGCTGGGGATGAGGCCCTGCTCCGTGTACGCTGCCCCTGGGGGATCATTTTACCTCCAGGATCCCGGTATAGGTGACTGGTGTCCTGGAGGGCAGGGAACCGGCTTTGGACTTGATCCCACGTCATTCTGCTGCCAAGAACTCCGTAAGTGGGCAGTGACTGCACGACTCCCGGGTCCTGATGGTGCCGGGCCTCTCCAGGCATCCTCGTGCCTCCGAACAGGTTGCCACAGGAATCCCGCGGCAGCAGGGCACTGTGGCCAGACGTGACTGCCTGTCTGCTGTCGTAAAAGGTGAGGTCGGGGACGGAATTCTTCCTCCCGGCGAGCGACTTGTAAAAGGTGTCCCGGCAAAGGTAGGGCTCGGCAGCCCCAGACATGGTGGCTTGCAGCCCGGGGGGTGGCTGCTCACACCAAGGTCCCTGCCCACCTCCGTCCGTCAGAGAGCCTCTCCTCCCTGGAGCCTCGGCGATCTCCCAGGGGCCATCGTACCACCCGGCGGCATCCCAGCTCTGAGAGCGACCGATACTTGCATGCCTGCTGGGAACCGGCATCGGGAAGAAACGACTGCGGCCGGCAGAGGAAGAAGCCAAGCCCCTCTATAAATCTTCAGTTACGTACACAGACACAGACCTGGCAGAGTCCTAACCCTTCCCAGACGGCAGAACAACCAACTGGGGGTTTTCAATTTCAAAGTTCGGCCTAAATTATTAATCCGCTGAAACCTTAGTAGGCAAAACACAACACTCATGGTAACCCTGCCTCACTCCCCACCGGTAGCGAGCTGAGGTCTTTCCTTTACGGCTCAGCCCCAGAAAGGAGGCTGCCCTGGGCCTGCCGGGCCCCCCTCCCGGCTGGTGTGCTCACATGGACCTCTGTGCTCCCCGCATGCGGATTAGGAGCTAAATAAAGCCCTAAAGCTTTTGTTCCATGTGACATCTTGTTAGGCTGGTGGAGCCTGCTGCAGCCGCCATCCAGGCCTCCCGCCTGCCACAGGGCATTATTTCCACACTGAAGCTCTCGCTTATCTCTCTCTTCCTCACCAGGGTACTTTCTGGATGAACACTGCGGTCCCTTTCTGAAGGTGCCTCCCCCTCCCCCGCATCCGATCACCTAAAAGAGACAGAAGGAAAAGTCTGCCTTAATGTCAGTTCACTCTTAATCCACCCTGATGAAACGTTAATCCACTGCACATGGCCAAGACCATATTCAATGTGAAGGGGCAGGCAGGATAAAAAGGAAAAAAAGTCTCACCCCCAGTTCTAGAACACAAGGTGCCCTGAGAAATGGGCCAGGGCTACAGCCCAGCGCTTCGCCAATGCTGAAATCTGGCTCTGAGAAGACTCTTTGGTCATGAATCAAATGAGTTAGTTACACCGCTCAAGTCCAAATGGATTCTTTACCTTATCGTAAAACACAGATCCCTTCATACTGCCAGGGAAACAGTAACACAATGATAACCCACGTGTGGAATCCAGAATTTATCATGTTAAGGCTGCATCTCAGGTGCATCTTTCTTTAAATCTGCTCCCCAAGGAAAGCAGGCTCAGCCTGGCTTAGATCCTGCAGATGATTTCCCATATTCCCACGGGGTAGAATTTTACACAGCCCACTAGGGACTTTAGGTGCGATAATGCAAAGAACAGCAGTTATTTAGTTAAAGGAGCACCCCAAACAGAAGCACTAAAACATTTCCTGAAATGTATGGAAGGTTCCAGAGAAGCAACACCATCTGACAAGCACAGCGAGTTCTGGTTCTCCAGCTGCAGATTCCCCAAGAATTCACAAGACCAGAAGCCGGGCATCATGCAGCTACAAGGGCTGTGCAGTTAGAACATGTTTAAAAGAGGTAATATGCTGTTTGCAGCCATTAAACCTAAGAGTGTTTTGTCTTCATCCATTTCTCTGAATTGAATGGAATCTTTAGAGGGAATTTTTTTTTTTAAATGAGAAAAACTGAAAATTTACTGTGAGGAGTTAAGTGGGGACAAATCCATTTCCAAGAACTGGAGGTCCACGGCAGTACAAGATTGTTTAAAAGGGAAATACCCTACACCTCCCCGTGTCCTGATCAATACATATTAAACTTTGGGACAAGCTCTGTTTCAACCAAGCACTCCCCAAAGAGTGCTGGTCCCCCAAAGCCAGAGGTCTGTGAACACTGACTGGCTGTTGAGGAACCAGCCCAAGTACTGCTGGGGAAGCAGCCCGGGGACCCTCAGTCTGTTAAATGAACACTGTATCTCCCATTTCTGACTCGCAAATACCACCAAGGCCTCAAGTCATCTGGGAGATGCCCTGCAGGCGGCGAAGAAACGCCAATCCCCCACCCCCATCCTCTCCCCCTCCTGAATTTATGGAAAGAACAAAAAGAAAAACTAACAAGCCACACTGCGAAACGCTGGGTTTCCACGTATAAAAGAAGTCTGCGGGCGCCAATTTCTGTAATTCCTCTGCCGGCGCATTTGCAATCACAGGCTGAAAGTCTCAGGCAGGGAAGACCGAGGATTCGGCCAGGCCACACGCGAGACAGTCTGCACACATCTCACCAACAGCCTAAGGATGTGCTCACTTAGAAGACACACCAGAAAGGAAAGAAAGTGTTACAGAAGCCCAAACAGAACAGGAACAGTGCTATCTGGTTGCTGATCATTTCCCGGCACGGCTGGGCTGCTGGGAGTGCCAGGAGCTGGCTGGCCACAGGATTTCTCCTCTTCTAGGCACTGTTCAGAGCTTCCTCCCCTGGAAGGCAGAGGGCTGAGGCGGGGGGGGGTGGGCAGCCACACTGGCAAGCCTTCCAACCGGTGCAGGAGACGGGTCTGCAGGGAAACACATCTGCTGTGTGTATCACCTCTGCACAAGGACACTCACCGGTTCACCTGGAGCCATCTGCCTTGTCATTGTCCCCTCCCTCTTCTCTTCTTGGGTATATTGGCCATGAAGGGCCTTTTAGGCCTCCCAGCGGGTTTTGCCCATTGCTGTTTCCACCTCTCCTCCCACTAAAGGCCAGAGGACATGGCTGTCTGGGCAGGACGGACAGCCGCAGTCCTGACCCCTCCAGAAACAGGGCATCTCTGACACCATGTCTTCCTCACAGGATCCCTCTTGGAGGGCTCTGCATTTGCTGAATGTCTGTGCCAGGCCTCTTCCAGGTGTTCTGCCCGTAGAGGACTCTACAGGTAGGTATGACCGTGTCACATCCCTGATGCTGGGAATGGAGAGATCACATGCCTTGCCTGGCAACACAGGACCAAGATCCAGAGCCCAGGGCCAACCCCAAAGCCAAAGGTCTGCTTTCTAGAATTCCCTGCGCTGACTTGGAGAAACTCTGCCCTGCTGGTGCCAGAAAACGGGAACCTCTTCATCAAAGTAATTCTTAATTCTGTCATTCTAAGGTTTTCCAATACCTTACCAAATATGTCGTTTATAGAATTAACTACTTGAATATCAGAAAGCAACTCCTGAACAATGTTTCAGCCCCTCAAAATAGGGTGCACTGTACTCATGCCAGAGCCGGGACCCCCAGCTATAGCTGAGGGATGGCAACTGCGTGAAGCCTCGGAATTACAGCATCTCAGTCTCCTTTTCCTTCTGTCTTGCAATATAAAAAAAAGTGACACTGTGGAGCTAACGCTAAATGCCCCCACTCACGGCGCAGACACGGCCCCTCACAGATGTGTGGGTGAACTCCGCGGATGTCTGGGCCCCGTCTTTTTGCGGCGGGGTATCTCTTGGTGACTCACCAGCTTACAGATGCCTGGCTTTCAGTTCAAGTTCTCCATCTGAAGCAGACTGCCTAGAAGAATGTGTACCCAACTGTTCCTAAGAAGCCAGCACAGGTGCGTGAGAAGGTGCCACAGGTGTGACACCACAGGCAGAGCAGGGGCCAACCCCGTATGAGAACAGGGAGGCCCGGGTTCCATTTCCATCAACTTCCAATCCATTCCTGCTTGGAAGCGACCCAAACTCACGCAGCCTCAGCTCTGCAATCAGCCAAATATTATGACAGATGTTTTCCTGTGTTAGGTAAAAACACCTGCAAACTGACCTGCGCTTTCCCAAACCACCTGGCACATTTTTTAAAAAGTGCGGTGTAGTCTCCTGGCGAGGGCTGAGCTTCTGAAAATCTCATGTTGACTAAATAAAGCAAGATGGGATCAATATCTAAGAGCACCGAGTCTCGTGGACTTAACTTTTTTAATTTTGCAAAGAATCTCACTACAGAAAATTATATAAAGTAAAAAGGCATCTGCTGAAAATTGAGAAATAGACAACCCAAATTCTCTTGTATGTAAAAACAAACAAACAAACAAACAAACTCAAGATAAAGCTGATCATGTAGAATAACCGAAGTGGCAACTTCAGGGTTACAAGTGACATTCTTTCGAAGCCAAATCTTTAATCCCCCATGCAACCAAATGTACCAATTTGCAACTGTAATTCAGGGATGGATCTAGACAGTTCCAGAAAAGCAGGGAGGAAGCCCAAGGAGGGGACAGAACCAGTGACCCCTCCCTCAGAGCAGTCCCTGGGAAGAGCGCCAACGAGCATTTCAAGTTCTGATCAGGACAATGACTGCTTGAAAGGAATGGGAAATGAAGTACTGCTCTGGGGTCTAATCCTTACTTTTTTCTTTAAAAAACGAAATAAAAAATCTGTCTGTCCATCCATCCATCCCTAGACGTACAGTGGAATTGGTGATTCTAAAGGCTGGACCCACACCGAGGTCACTGGGTTTAACCGCCCGTCCCCTGAAAACCTGTTCTGTTTCCCGCCTGCAGCAGATACTGTTTCATTTTCAGGAAGCAACAGGCCCAACTCTAGAACATCACGGGCCAAGCGGTCCCCGTGGCGGGGCAGCACTTCCTGGGCTTCCATTTCCTGGTCCTCCCCTGGTCCTTGGGGCGCGGGACCCGGGTGGCTCTGAAAGTGAGGGTGGAAATGAGCGCCCCACCCCAAGTGCGTCCCACGCCTCCTGAGTCCCAGGAGGAAGCCTCTGCAGCGCCCTCCAACCCCCATGGATGGCATCTCCCTGGGGACACTGCTGAGGTTAGTGGGTTACACACTATTTTATGGCAGAAGCAGGGCCAAAAATAGGCCTATGACATCCCTCTTCCTACTCTGAAATGTGTACAGGATGTGTTGGGCTTTGTTTCTGTCCAGTGTTTTAAAATTTATGTTTAAAAACAGCCTTCAGCCTTTAAAAAAGTTATCTTTCTTGCCGTCCCCTCAGTGTCCCCTATCAAATTAACTTACCTGGCTGATCTAAATTGGGTGGGGGAGGGAAGAATCCAAGTGTGCTGGTAAAATAGCAAATAGATTATGGGGCAGGATTTTAAGGCAGCCTGCATCTAAAGGTTCAATGAAAATACCAGAACCATCCAGACCTCATCTTGGTCAGCAAAGGACTGGCATGGCACCGAACACCCCTGCGGGCTGCGAGCTCCTGATCTCCGAGCCCGAAGCCTCACCATCATCAGGGCACCGGCCAAAGGGAACCCAAGACCCAGGGGGGTCTCGCAACCCAAGACTTGGCCATTTTAAGAGAAAACCAAGGCTTGTGCGTTGC